TAGCTAATGGTTTGTTTTCGCAGCTAAAAGAGTTTAGTTTGGGTTAGTTAACTGTTTACTTTAGGAGTTAAATTAAGGTTAGCTAATGGTTTGTTTTAGCAGCTAAAAGAGTTTAGTTTGGGTTAGTTAACTGTTTACTTTAGGAGTTAAATTAAGGTTAGCTAATGGTTTGTTTTAGCAGCTAAAAGAGTTTAGTTTGAGTTAGTTAACTGTTTAGTTTAGCAGCTAAAAGAGTTTAGTTTGGGTTAGTTAACTGTTTACTTTAGGAGTTAAATTAAGGTTAGCTAATGGTTTGTTTTAGCAGCTAAAAGAGTTTAGTTTGGGTTAGTTAACTGTTTACTTTAGGAGTTAAATTAAGGTTAGCTAATGGTTTGTTTTAGCAGCTAAAAGAGTTTAGTTTGAGTTAGTTAACTGTTTAGTTTAGCAGCTAACAGAGTTTAGTTTGGGTTAGTTAACTGTTTACTTTAGGAGTTAAATTAAGGTTAGCTAATGGTTTGTTTTAGCAGCTAAAAGAGTTTAGTTAACTGTTTACTTTAGGAGTTAAATTAAGGTTAGCTAATGGTTTGTTTTAGCAGCTAAAAGAGTTTAGTTTGGGTTAGTTAACTGTTTACTTTAGGAGTTAAATTAAGGTTAGCTAATGGTTTGTTTTAGCAGCTAAAAGAGTTTAGTTAAGGTTAGCTAATGGTTTGTTTTAGCAGCTAAAAGAGTTTAGTTTGGGTTAGTTAACTGTTTACTTTAGGAGTTAAATTAAGGTTAGCTAATGGTTTGTTTTAGCAGCTAAAAGAGTTTAGTTTGGGTTAGTTAACTGTTTACTTTAGGAGTTAAATTAAGGTTAGCTAATGGTTTGTTTTAGCAGCTAAAAGAGTTTAGTTAACTGTTTACTTTAGGAGTTAAATTAAGGTTAGCTAATGGTTTGTTTTAGCAGCTAAAAGAGTTTAGTTTGAGTTAGTTAACTGTTTAGTTTAGCAGCTAAGAGTTAAATTAAGGTTAGCTAATGGTTTGTTTTAGCAGCTAAAAGAGTTTAGTTTGGGTTAGTTAACTGTTTACTTTAGGAGTTAAATTAAGGTTAGCTAATGGTTTGTTTTAGCAGCTAAAAGAGTTTAGTTTGGGTTAGTTAACTGTTTACTTTAGGAGTTAAATTAAGGTTAGCTAATGGTTTGTTTTAGCAGCTAAAAGAGTTTAGTTTGAGTTAGTTAACTGTTTAGTTTAGCAGCTAAGAGTTAAATTAAGGTTAGCTAATGGTTTGTTTTAGCAGCTAAAAGAGTTTAGTTTGGGTTAGTTAACTGTTTACTTTAGGAGTTAAATTAAGGTTAGCTAATGGTTTGTTTTAGCAGCTAAAAGAGTTTAGTTTGAGTTAGTTAACTGTTTAGTTTAGCAGCTAAGAGTTAAATTAAGGTTAGCTAATGGTTTGTTTTAGCAGCTAAAAGAGTTTAGTTTGAGTTAGTTAACTGTTTACTTTAGCAGCTAAAAGAGTTTAGTTTGGGTTAGTTAACTGTTTACTTTAGGAGTTAAATTAAGGTTAGCTAATGGTTTGTTTTAGCAGCTAAAAGAGTTTAGTTTGAGTTAGTTAACTGTTTAGTTTAGCAGCTAACAGAGTTTAGTTTGGGTTAGTTAACTGTTTACTTTAGGAGTTAAATTAAGGTTAGCTAATGGTTTGTTTTAGCAGCTAAAAGAGTTTAGTTAACTGTTTACTTTAGGAGTTAAATTAAGGTTAGCTAATGGTTTGTTTTAGCAGCTAAAAGAGTTTAGTTTGGGTTAGTTAACTGTTTACTTTAGGAGTTAAATTAAGGTTAGCTAATGGTTTGTTTTAGCAGCTAAAAGAGTTTAGTTAAGGTTAGCTAATGGTTTGTTTTAGCAGCTAAAAGAGTTTAGTTTGGGTTAGTTAACTGTTTACTTTAGGAGTTAAATTAAGGTTAGCTAATGGTTTGTTTTAGCAGCTAAAAGAGTTTAGTTTGGGTTAGTTAACTGTTTACTTTAGGAGTTAAATTAAGGTTAGCTAATGGTTTGTTTTAGCAGCTAAAAGAGTTTAGTTAACTGTTTACTTTAGGAGTTAAATTAAGGTTAGCTAATGGTTTGTTTTAGCAGCTAAAAGAGTTTAGTTTGAGTTAGTTAACTGTTTAGTTTAGCAGCTAAGAGTTAAATTAAGGTTAGCTAATGGTTGTTTTAGCAGCTAAAAGAGTTTAGTTTGGGTTAGTTAACTGTTTACTTTAGGAGTTAAATTAAGGTTAGCTAATGGTTTGTTTTAGCAGCTAAAAGAGTTTAGTTTGGGTTAGTTAACTGTTTACTTTAGGAGTTAAATTAAGGTTAGCTAATGGTTTGTTTTAGCAGCTAAAAGAGTTTAGTTTGAGTTAGTTAACTGTTTAGTTTAGCAGCTAAGAGTTAAATTAAGGTTAGCTAATGGTTTGTTTTAGCAGCTAAAAGAGTTTAGTTTGGGTTAGTTAACTGTTTACTTTAGGAGTTAAATTAAGGTTAGCTAATGGTTTGTTTTAGCAGCTAAAGAGTTTAGTTTGAGTTAGTTAACTGTTTAGTTTAGCAGCTAAGAGTTAAATTAAGGTTAGCTAATGGTTTGTTTTAGCAGCTAAAAGAGTTTAGTTTGAGTTAGTTAACTGTTTACTTTAGCAGCTAAAAGAGTTTAGTTTGGGTTAGTTAACTGTTTACTTTAGGAGTTAAATTAAGGTTAGCTAATGGTTTGTTTTAGCAGCTAAAGTTTAGTTTGAGTTAGTTAACTGTTTAGTTTAGCAGCTAAAAGAGTTTAGTTTGGGTTAGTTAACTGTTTACTTTAGGAGTTAAATTAAGGTTAGCTAATGGTTTGTTTTAGCAGCTAAAAGAGTTTAGTTTGAGTTAGTTAACTGTTTAGTTTAGCAGCTAAGAGTTAAATTAAGGTTAGCTAATGGTTTGTTTTAGCAGCTAAAAGAGTTTAGTTTGAGTTAGTTAACTGTTTACTTTAGCAGCTAAAAGAGTTTAGTTTGGGTTAGTTAACTGTTTACTTTAGGAGTTAAATTAAGGTTAGCTAATGGTTTGTTTTAGCAGCTAAAAGAGTTTAGTTTGGGTTAGTTAACTGTTTACTTTAGGAGTTAAATTAAGGTTAGCTAATGGTTTGTTTTAGCAGCTAAAAGAGTTTAGTTTGGGTTAGTTAACTGTTTACTTTAGGAGTTAAATTAAGGTTAGCTAATGGTTTGTTTTAGCAGCTAAAAGAGTTTAGTTTGGGTTAGTTAACTGTTTACTTTAGCAGCTAAAAGAGTTTAGTTTGGGTTAGTTAACTGTTTACTTTAGCAGCTAAAAGAGTTTAGTTTGGGTTAGTTAACTGTTTACTTTAGCAGTTAAGAGTTAAATTAAGGTTAGCTAATGGTTTGTTTTAGCAGCTAAAAGAGTTTAGTTTGAGTTAGTTAACTGTTTACTTTAGCAGCTAAAAGAGTTTAGTTTGGGTTAGTTAACTGTTTACTTTAGCAGCTAAAAGAGTTTAGTTTGGGTTAGTTAACTGTTTACTTTAGCAGCTAAAAGAGTTTAGTTTGGGTTAGTTAACTGTTTACTTTAGGAGTTAAATTAAGGTTAGCTAATGGTTTGTTTTAGCAGCTAAAAGAGTTTAGTTTGGGTTAGTTAACTGTTTACTTTAGGAGTTAAATTAAGGTTAGCTAATGGTTTGTTTTAGCAGCTAAAAGAGTTTAGTTTGGGTTAGTTAACTGTTTACTTTAGGAGTTAAATTAAGGTTAGCTAATGGTTTGTTTTAGCAGCTAAAAGAGTTTAGTTTGGGTTAGTTAACTGTTTACTTTAGGAGTTAAATTAAGGTTAGCTAATGGTTTGTTTTAGCAGCTAAAAGAGTTTAGTTTGGGTTAGTTAACTGTTTACTTTAGGAGTTAAATTAAGGTTAGCTAATGGTTTGTTTTAGCAGCTAAAAGAGTTTAGTTTGGGTTAGTTAACTGTTTACTTTAGGAGTTAAATTAAGGTTAGCTAATGGTTTGTTTTAGCAGCTAAAAGACTTTAGTTTGAGTTAGTTAACTGTTTAGTTTAGCAGCTAACAGAGTTTAGTTTGGGTTAGTTAACTGTTTACTTTAGGAGTTAAATTAAGGTTAGCTAATGGTTTGTTTTAGCAGCTAACAGAGTTTAGTTTGGGTTAGTTAACTGTTTACTTTAGGAGTTAAATTAAGGTTAGCTAATGGTTTGTTTTAGCAGCTAAAAGAGTTTAGTTAACTGTTTACTTTAGCAGCTAAAAGAGTTTAGTTTGGGTTAGTTAACTGTTTACTTTAGCAGCTAAAAGAGTTTAGTTTGGGTAAAAAGTCTGTGTAGAGAGCAAGACAGCCAGAACGCAATCTCTGACCAGCGGCCATTGTCTGGCAATGATTTAGCTTTTTCATTTACTTGCATTCAAATTCTAATTGTTTGCAGTACAGAGTCCCCTCAGTCACAATGGCAGGAATAAGGTAAAGTAATTAGTTGTTGTTGGTCGTACCTGACCATATCCAGGGAGGTCTCGTAGGCGTTTTCGTTGGTCTCGTAGGCGTTTTCGATGGTCATAGCGTAGTCATTATCTTTGTCGGACACCACACTGACCTTCCTCCTTCAGACAGATGCATTATATAAGTAGACCACAGTATTAAACATTAGTTTCTTTAAATCTATTGTCTCTATGAAAAGTGATTATGTCTATAAAATCAGAATTAAGATTTTAAGAGCAGATTTATCAGTTGTATTAGTTTTTACTTTAACCTCTTGTCCAACATTTAGACCGGACTCCAAGAAGTAAGTTTATAAAGTCACAATTAGGGATTTTTCAGCATTTTCCTCCTCAGGTTACTGATCACTGTAATTATCAATTACTCTGCTGACTATTGTTTTGTCTGAAAATAATAAAAAAAATATTTGTTTCTCGGATTCAAATGTCCGACCAACAAACTAAAACCCAAATTTGTCTCGATAAATGTAGTGAAGTTTAAGATATTCTTGGATTAGAAGTATTGTCTCTTGTGTTGAGAGGTGATTTCTGTTTACTTGTCTGTCGATAGTCTTCCCACATAAATGTTCCTGTTGGTCAAAATGAGTTAAATTAAACAGACGACGGACCTGCTGGGCTCCTCACACCAGGCCTTCTTCACCAGGAAGACGACGAAGCTGAGGAAGAGGAAGATGGAGACGGCGATGATGCCAGTGAGCCACTGAGGCAGCAGACGCTCGCTGATCTGAGTCTGATCTGCAACACAAGCACACAGAGAGGTCAGAGGTCATCCAAGCTCAGCGCGAACCTCCAGAAACTGTTTTCCATTTTAAAAAAAATACAATAAACTTAAAAGTCTGGCATATTTTTTCAAGCAGTAAAATTATTTATTTCAGCTATACTGATACTGTAAGATAGCCTAATCTACACTGTTTGAGCTAATGGATCTATTGGATAATAATTGGTCAATATATTCTAATCAAAATGTTGCTAAAATAGCTGCAAAATAAATCAACTAACCTCAACATTCCTGTTAACTTTTACACATTATTACACACCTTTTAAATTGTGCAGATAATCCATTAAAACCCCTTAATGGATATGTTAAACATATGAAACCCTCAAATATCATAGATTTGCAGCTTAAAATATTTCAGAGCCCTGTCATAAACTAAAATCCTTTAACCTTAATAACACCTGATCATTGACAGAATTCATGTACACCTTAAAATCTACTTAATTATGGGCTTTTAAAATTTTGTTTTGCTTTTTAAATTAAGGGATCTCTAAATGAGGGTTTTCACAGACAACTTAGCAATAAAGTAAAGGTATACATTTGTAAATAGATAGATAAATGTAGTGCAGTACAATATTTACTTAAAAGTACCCCAAACTTACGTATGTTCATATTTTCACCACTTTTGTCCAAAGTTTGAAACATATGACCCAAATAATGATATTAACAGGAGCTGTTTTCTTGCGTGCTCATTATTAAGGTAAGATTTGATGTGAGGAGAAAATTCTTAGATACTTTCATGGTATTTTCTTTACTTACATAATTATTTCTATTCCTTAATGCCCTGATGTGCAATTGTGACACAAGAATCTGGGGATCAATAAGGTATTTCTGATCCTGTAATTGTGGAATAATCAAGGTCAAATATATTTAGTAAAGTAAAAAGTGCTTAAATCCCCCCTTGAAATGTAGTGAAATCGAAGTAGCATGAAATAGTATTACTCATTTTAAGTACGGGAATATCAAATTCAGTACAGTACTTTAGTAGATGTTGAGTGAGGGAGAATTGCAACACAGTTTATAGGTGTGCATCCATTATATGACCTCCAATATAATGATACTAGCAGGAAAGAAAAGCTGCACCTTGTACACGAATTATCTTTATTATCACTTACTTTTTTAATTAATCCAAAATAAGTTAAAAAAGAATTTACTGATGTCTTCAAACTACAACAAAACTGGAAACTTACTAAGCTTTTAAATTTTGATTAATCAATAATCAAAACATTCTAGAACAGAAACTATGAGTTGATCCTTGCAGATTTATTCACTGGCAATTGTTTTATACATTTTTCTTGATACAATCGCTGGTTTTAGCTTCTCAAATGAGCGGATTTCATGTTTTTCTTTGTGGCAAGATTGTTTTTGGACTGTTGATTGAACATATTATAATTATATATTCAATTTAATGGACTAAACAATTACTCATTTAATCTAGAAAATAATACACAGATTGATTGATAGAGAAAATATCTGTAGTTGCAGCTCTAAAACACTCAGTAATGTTGTTCATCGGATAAATATTTGAACAGTAGTATAACCGTGTATTTATAGTTACTGTCGGTACAGTTCACACAGCTCGTACCTGTCTGGGCCGCCACGACTCCGACTGTCAGCAACAAACTGGAAATCACTGCACAAAGTTTGGCCATCGCTGGTTCTCCGCTCTGACTGAAGAAAAAATAAACAGACGTTAAAAAACTTCGCACAAGTTTAAAGCTGAAGCTTCGGAGGTGGAGTTGAAACTAACAGCAGACGAGCAGCTCAGGTGAAGCAGCAGGTCGGTGCACTTCTGTTAATATTTAACTCAAACTCACATTTCAAACTCTGTTTCACAGGAAAAGCTTTTATCTGCTCTCTGAGTTTATGGCCCAATCATGTTTCTGTTTTCTTTCAGCTGGACCAAAGTGTTGCCTTACAAACCTCTTCCACTTTAAGGCCCCGCTTATGTTAACAAGGCAGCGAGACTGAGGAGGACTGGACTGTAGATTTGTTTACGTCTATAAGTTTGACTCATTTTCACAGACAGGGAGACTTAAAAACTCTATATACAAGAAAAAAGCAGCTTAATATGATTATCTTTATCTATAATCATCAACTAATCTATCAAATAATTAATTAATTGGTAATCAGGCTGTCCTTAATTATCTTTGCATGCAAAATCCCCATAAATTCCTACCTAATGTTATATAAAAACATTTATCTTTTATTGATTTATCTTCATCGAATCATCTTTATTTGCCAGGTACGCATACGAGGAATTTGACTCTGGAAATTTCCCTTCTCACGATGTGCTTACTTATGAATTGCCACACACACACACACATATATATGTGTGTGTGTGTGGCAATTCATAACAGAAGTTATCTAATTGCACTTTTCATACAGAGAAGGTATTATTAATCAGGGCTGTACAGTGAGAACATTTCCCTGGCATAACAATAGATAAGATTTATGATTTGATATGATTGACGAGTTAGCACTTTTATAATTACAAACCAATGTAAAGCATTTTTCTTGCACAAGGATTTAATGAATAAAAACAACCCACAAAGGTGAAACTGCTGTATTAAATATTCAACTAGTGCTAACCTATATAGTTCACTATTATATGAAATTAGTAACATTATATTATACTATTAAATGAATCTCATGCTTTTTATTTAATGTTACACTCCTCCAGGTTGTGGATAGAGCCTCTGCCAGGTTGCCATGGAAACATTATAATGATAAGAATCTAAAACTATGTGAATATTCAGTTTTTAGTCGAAACAGAGCCTGAAGTCACTCGCTTCCGCTTCCGGCCCGTGGGACGTTATTTTGGAAAGTTCGGTATTTTTTTGATCCGGTTTGAACTGAGCCCTGAATCACACACGTTTGTCAATTTAAAATATGATTTTGTCCGTCAAGAAAGCCGCAGTTTGTCGTAAAACAGTAAAGTTACGTGTCTTTTTGTGTGAAACCAGTTCAATGAACTACATCTCTCGTCTCGCACAATATACGTCAAAAACAATAAACATGGTAATGCTAGCTAACGTTCATTGCTGCTAATAAGATAACTCAGCTGTGTTCCACGCAGAAATATATCTCGCCTGTTGTGTTTAATCCAACGACTCTCTGTCCTTTTATCACATCATCCTCTCATGGAAGTTCTTTGACGTTAGCTTCAGTCATTGAGAGAAACAGTTACGACGTCACGTATTTGCGGCCTGTGTAATTATGTATTTTCACAGTCTTATACCTCAACAGTTTTACATCAAACTGCGACTTTCAAATGTAGATTTTAAATTGACAAACATCATGTGTGTAATTTTTTCCAAAGGTCCCGTGGTGGTCCACCGGAAGGGGAGGGACTTAGGCATCAAATATTCTACACCGACAGTGTTTATTTTCCTTTTTGTCACTCACAGGCCTGTTAAAGGAATATTCCACTGAAAATAATGAAAAACTCACCCCCTGGAGTCGGGAGAGGGGCCTCTTGTGTCTTCTGAGGACAGCAGCTGTGGTCAGTTTGTCCAACCACCTCTGCAGCATGATGAACCAGTCCTCTGTCCACCCGAACGATTTTACTTCATTCACATTTTTTGGCAAAATATGGCTGAATCAGGTGCATCAACAAGCAGAAGAAAGAATTTAGCCATATTTTGGTAAAAATATGAGGACGTTCTAATGAAAATGTTATTTTTACATTATAGAGCCATATGTACATTTACCCTGCTCACAATTAAATTTAACTATGAAAATACATTTTTTTCTCATTTTCTTTTGAAACACCCTAAAACCTAGAGGCCCCTGGAGGTCCTGGGGCCCCAGTTAGGGACCCGGTGTCCTACAGTATGAGACAGGTGGAGGAGGGTTTGGCTCTTAACGTGCTCATGAGGTTCAGATTGAGCTGGGCCGGGTTGAAGTCCTGGAGGTTGGACCCGGGGGCCTGCTGGCCGTCCCGGTTCTTCTCCCTGGAGGTGACCCGGTACTGGGCCTTGACGTTTCTCAATGGGTTGTGGTCCGGACTGATGTGGTCCGGACAGCGAAACACCTCTCTGATGACAGAGCCCTGCTGAGACAAGCCCACAAAGCCGTTCCTGAAGGTCACCATCCTGACGACGGGCGAGTCGACGTACTGAACATACAGCAGGTTTCCTGACAGGAAGACAGAGTGACGGTTCAGTCCAATCAGAATTTAGTAGTTTACTTCTGGGGTTTGTGGCACAGAAGTATTTGGCCCGCGAGTTCCCGCTCGGCCCAGAGACTTCACATTGTGATGAAGTTACGGATTTTAAAATTGAGGAAAGTTTTACAAATACAAAAACCTCCGTGGATCAAACATTCAAAATAAAAAGAGTCATAATTGACTTAAAGTTTGCAGTTTGAGGTGTTCTGGCTCCAGTTTTAGTGGCGGCCACGGGTGACTGGAGGAGACCTCTTGGACCGCACCGGTACGTACCTGTAGCGACGTCCCAGACGTTGATGCTTCTGTCCTGAGATCCTGTGAAGACGAACTGGTCGCTCTCAGAGAAAGCAGCAGAGAGGACGCCCTCGAAGAAAAACCCCTGAACATCAGCAGAAAAAACTCAGACTGAGGATTGCTGTACGTAATAATAATAATTATTAAAGACCTAAAACAGCCTGACATCAGCTTACGTTATATTATTTATTATATGTTAATATTACTGCTAATAAATGATCAGCATTTAAAATACAAGCTTGCTGATATGTGTCTCTGTCTTTGTGTTACTGTCCATGTTGTTGGTTGGAGAGTAAAAGTAATGACCTTGTATTCCATGGTGTGGTCCAGGACCAGCGGGTTCAGGCCCCACAGCCTCTGTACGGCGTCCTCAGAGCCCACCAGGGCGTGGTCCCCCCAGTTACCTGCCGTCACACAGGTCACTCTGCTGCGATGAGGCTCCAGATCGGAGCTGCTGCCCCGGCTGAAGTCGTGGAGCTTCACCTCCCCGCAGATCGTCCCGTACAGCAGCCGGCGTTTGGACAGCAGCGCCATGGAGGACAGCGGGGAGTGGAGGAGGGACAGCGGGAACCTCTCCAGGGGTCCCTCCACTGTGGGGAAGCCGTCTCTGTTGGTGATCTCAAACAGACACAACGAGTCCTCGTAGGCCACCGCCAGGTGCTTCTCCTGGGAGCCGACGGCCAGGCAGAGCACCCTGGAGAGGCTCTCCGGAGGGGGGATGCAGAGCGTCTCCTGGGGAAGGGCCATCGGGTAGATGAGGATGGTGCCGCTGGTCAGACCGCAGAGCAGCAAGCGTTTGCGCTGAGCTAACTCCAGACAGCAAACCTCAGCGGAGACCGCCAAATGCTCCAATGGAGAACCTGCAGGGAGATCCAGGAGGAGGTTTCAGAGCCGCAACAGCAGGTATCTCCACCTGCTGACGGTGCTGTTTAAAACACGACACACATTCGCTTCCATTTGTGACTTGGATGAACGCGATTACCAAACTAGGCGAGCTTGTGGAGGTAAATATCCGTAACCACGAGCAAAAAGCACTGATGATCTGGTTATTCTCTGCGCTGACCTGTGTTGCTGTTCCAGCTGATGACCTCGGTCTGGCTCTGCTCTCGGACGTAGAAAACCCGATCTCCGTCTGTAGTGATGGCGACGTGGGCGCAGCCTGCGGGGATGTGGCCGGTGGGTTTGTGGCGGGTGTCGTATTTCAGACTCCACCGATGGATGGCGGCGGCGGCCGACGAGGCTGAAACCACAGAGCCGTTGTACAGAAGGACTGCGGTGACGGGAGCGTACGAACCACACAGAGCGTCCAACAACGTACCGGTGGTCACCGACCAGATCTGACAAAGAAAGTTCGTAACGCATAAATACTGTGGAGTTCTGGTTCTGGTCAGAGATGCTGATTCGTCTCACGCCATTTTGTATGTTTTAGTTTGCATTGAGATTCATGAAGCTTGAGCTGTTTGAAGCCTTTTCTGCAATATTTTGAAAAAAAAACATGACATTAAAAACTTTCATAAGAACAGAGTTAATCTTCAGGAAAAGCGTTTCAGCTGCAGGGAATCTGACTAAGGGAAGCCAGAAAGAAGCTCCTGCAGGGCCCTTTACTGCTGCAAGGGAACCGTGGGGCCCTCAATATAATTTTATATTTATTTCATGTAATAAAATATATATCAAGACGTTAATTTGGCCACCGAGCACTGATAGAAAATGATAGAAATACATTTTGACTTACTTTTAGATATTTATACACACAGAAGGAGAAACGCTGAATTAAATGAATACAACTTGGTCTCTTACTCGTACGAGTTGGTCGGCAGCTCCGGAGACGAGCAGCCGGCGGTCTGATGAGACGCAGGCTGACAAAACGCTGTCGTCATGTTGGAGGTTGAGGAATCCGTCCACCTCGTCTCTGGAGATGTTAAAGAGGCTCAGAGTCCGATCGCTGCCTGCAGAGGACGGAAACACAGAGAGAGAGAGTCAGACTTTTGCTGCTGCTTGTCTGAAAAAACGCTTAAATGGTGAAAACTGAGCTGTTAAAACATGAATAAAAGCTTAATACTGCATTCAGTCATTTGCCTGTATAATTTCTCATTAACAGCAATTAAATGCACTTGCCAATCAGAGATTTTTAATGTTTATGGGTAGTGGTTTTCCTCTTTGCAGCCGCAGCTGTTTGAGAAAAAGTAGGAACCAAAGTCGGTGCAACGGGAGCTGTTCATTTTCATTTATCTATTTACCTTTGAAGTGGTACATATGTCAGGTCGAAAAACAGGTGATATTTAACTTAAAGAGGTGGTATTCTGCTTATTGGCTTTTCCCCTCTCCTTTACTGAGTTACAGTAAATATCTTTTTTGTGCATGTAACAGGTTTGCAAAGTGAAAAAGCCCAAAGTGAGTTCCCATCTCCCACAGAAAACTCTGCTCTGAACTGAAAACAGCTCGTTTGTAGTCCAGCCGCTTCCCTTTCATCCCTGTGACGTCACAGGGATGAAAGCTAAACGCGCCTCATATAACGCTCGCCGAGCGGCGACTCCGACACGCCCTCAGAAACAGCGAGCTGCAGCACACAGCTCTCCTCTCCCTTCCAAACACTAGCTACCCTCCAGGCAGTCAGTGGACATAAAGTTGTTCCTGTGATGTAGAGACAGAGCTCAGTTAAAACTTTATGGATACAGATTAATAACTCACCGCTCTGAAACTCTCGCTCCAGTCCGTGTTGCCGAGCCGGTCGGCAACACGGACTGGAGCGAGTTGTTTACCGGCTTCTCGCTGACCCGCCCTTCTCTGCTTCTGATTGGCTAGTAGTCCTTAACTAGGAACTGAGCATGTGCAACTCCCAACAAAGATCATTAAAAGACGAGATGTATCACTCCATAGCTAAAACGAAGCCTTCAACACAGGCTGAAAAGAGGAGCTGCAGCAATGTGCAGTAGGACACAAATATAACCATGTAAACCTGCTCTGGTACAAACTCTAAATAAGATGAGGAACCTGAAAATGAGCAGAATACAACCTCTTCAACCACAGACTGTTTTTAGATTCTTTAGAAAGAAGTAAATGTAGGCGCCGTGACGTCACCCGTTCTTCTATGGACTACCGTTTTGATGCCTTGAGTCTGGCGTTTTGGTCGTCGCCATCTTGGTTATTTGGAACCGGACGTGACCATGTGAGGACAAGGTCTGTTATTTGCTTGTGTAGACTGTGCTATTAGCTGGGATGCTAATTTTGGCTAGCGACAAACAGGCTTAAAACAAATTGTACTAACCGACCTACTATTTTGTGTTTTATTGTCTGTGCACTTTTGAAAGTATTTTGTAACATGAACAGTGATCTATAAATAAGGATCACTGTCTATCCGATTTTTATTATCATCTTATCCAGTTATACTAGTATCTAGTATCTTCAGCCTTTGGATTATTATTATTACCACCACCATCATCATCCAATGGGACCATAATTTACTAAATGATCATCATGCTGTGTTGAAGAAGACTTGAAACTAGCGACTGAGACCAGAAACTCATCAGCAGAGAGAACGCAGGTTTAAGGTGTTTCAGCACCGGCTTCACTTTTCAGACCTTGACGTTGGCGCTTGGTTTTCACACGTGTGAAAAAGAAAGAAATCAACGGTCAGAGGACTAAAATGATTTAAAACGTTCGTACCTGCTATCAGTATTTTTTCATCTTCAGTGACTGAAAGCAAAGAAGGAAGCAGAGGAAACTCGACGGCTGTCTGTTTCCCCGTCCTGGAAATCTGCAGACAGGAAAGAAAATCTCATCATGAGTTCTGATCACCAGTAAGAGAAGTTTAATAACGAGTACTTGGGTCAGCTGGTTCATATCAGCTGTGACCTACGAACGCCGCCTCAGCTCCGTGCTGTCACTCAATTCACAAGACATATAGAAATATTCAACTTAAGATATACAGATAGAAAATAAAATTTATTCATATTTGCAAATGAAATCTGTACTTTTAGTCATTTTAATTCAGAGAAACTTTTGCACAGGTGGACTAATTAAACTGAATTTTAAAGTGAGTAATTGAATCAGATTTTTTCATTTACTTATTTCAAACATACAACATTACAGTTTTTATTATATATAAAGTTTCGGACGTTCAAGGAACTGACACAAGAAAAGCAAATTTTCTTTCCATGGACCAAACTATCCAAACAAAACTAACATCTGCAGGTTTATTATTTCTTTTTGCACTAAAGGTCAACAGACATACTGTGAGGTGGAAATTCTTTTTAAGCTGGTTTGATGTGAATTAATTGTCTCTCAATATAAAAACTCAATTTATGTTTTTTGGGAAATCAGAAAGTAATAAAGGACATAAAACTGAAAATATGTCTTTGAGTCTTTGATTGATCGATCATGAACTAAATTGGTACGAGCATATTGAATATATAAAAGGAAAACTATGAAAGACAATCAAGAGATATATTGAATTATAAAGCTTTGCATATTATTTATTGTTCACTTTTTCTTCCTTCTATGTCTTTCTGCATGAAACTTTAAATTCAATAATCTTACTGCAAAAACAGGCAATACAAATTATTAATAAAGTTGGTTACTATGGTCACACAAATCAAAATCAAAATCAAATTAAAGTACTTGTATTATTATAAAATAATGCAGATAATGTTCAGGGCTAATTTAAAGTCACGTCCACACTGTGTCCTAAAGCTTTTTTCAGTACAGGAAAGTAAATATGATTTGAGAGGTATTTTTAAGTTTACTTTTCAAAAAGCAAACAAAGAGATTAAATGGAAGATGTATTTCTGTTGTTGTAATAAAATGTGCAACTCTTTTTCAAGATGTGTTCAGGAAAATGCTATTTGTAAAGGTGAATAAATAATGTCTTTGTTTCTTTATATCCTTTACAGGTGGGTAGATTTGATTGGTAACAGCCTGAGCCTTTGTTGTGAATTATTTTGGAGCATTATAGCCTAAATTGTTATCATTTATTACTAGAGCAATGGTGGTCTACATTGTCACCATTTAAAGTGTTATTTTATAGTGTAAAGGTTAACTACTGAGTGTATAACTACTGAGTGTTTAAGGAGTGAGTTTAAACTCATATTTTATTCTTATACTCTGTGTATTCATGAACGTGTGCTTTTTTAATGAGCAGAGGAGCTGCTCAGGCCGCGCAGGCAAAACCTAGCCAGCCGCAACCCACTCATTAGAAGCAAGGCACATGCAGAAAGTCACGTACGCCAGGGCTGAGATCATCGCGAACTGAAGCCAAGAATGAGATCATGACATGTTATGATTTATGGCACCTGGTACGGCTAGGTACTGCATGCAACCAAGCTCTGCGCTGCTGAAAGTTAACTTGTATGAGACAAAGCACTCTCATGGTTGGCATTGCTAAATCATGTAATTGTTCATTGAATCACGTTATACATGTATGAAATATGTTATTCCTTATCAATTCTTTTAAAAAATACGATTGTAAGTGTTTAAGTTTTAATGGTGTCAAACTATGCCTGTGTAACTTTAAAAAATACGGTGGGACTGAAGTTGAAACATATTGGTGGATTTCTAATCCAGTAATGTAAAAAAATATAAAGAGAGATAAATGGTAACAATAATTACATGTAATAATAGTTAAAAAGTGGAAATTGTAACATTAATGAAAGGGTTAATTTGGTAAAACAGTACAAGAAAAAGGCCACTAGAGGCAGTAGAGGATAAGAAATCCACCAAAGGGGAGGAGTGGTCAGCGAACACCATAGGTGGAGTTAAGGAGTAACGCCCACCTAGAAGGAGGAGATAAGGAGGAGTTAAGATGTAACGCCCACCTAGAAGGAGGAGTTAAGGAGTAACGCCCACCTGAAGGGAGGGACAAGGTGGAGCTTAAGGTGAATATAAGGCGATGTTCGCTGACCACCAACTCGGTTCCATCCTGAGACCTGCAGGGATGTTGCTCGGGTTTATCGGTCCTTTATTGGAATAAACTCTTTTGCACCGACTCTTGACCGTCTCCAGTGAAGTTTTTGACTACGCAGTCTTTTGACTAAAGAAGAAATCTAATAGAGTAATTTTATTGAGTTTATTACGTTGGTTAGGGTAGGGACCAGGTCTTTTACTGGCCTGGCCGGTCCTTATTTCCGACCCGACACCTTTTCACTCACTTACTGTTTTAAGATGACTGAATGAACAAACTAATAAATAACTAAAAACCAAAAACACCAAAAACAGACGGATGAAACTCGCACCTGACGGAGGAGTCCGTCTGTAGAAACCATGAACACTTTGCCACGTTTGGGTGAAGTCACACAGTTCACGAGAGTCAGTCGTCTCCGCGAGTACTCCAGCTGAGTCTCCACGGTTTGAGTGCCGTTAACAGGATGACACATTCTGACCACGCCAGCATCAGACAGAGAAACTACAGATTCTCCCAGAATTCCCAGAACCACCGAGCCTTCATCACTGCTGCTGAGGAGCTCAGCGCCGTCCAGCCTCCACACCTTCACCTGGGACAACAACAGGTTTGAAAATGGAACGTGCAGATTAGCTGAATTATGTTTTACTAGTCGTGGGAATCTAATTTTGTGATTCAAGATGAAGCAACTTTTACACAGCCGCCTGGCGCACGCCATAAACCACGTGCCATAAACCACGTGCCATAAACCACGTGCCATAAACCACGTGCTATCCCACCATGAGTAGGCGGGATATCTTGAGATAATTGACCCATTATCAAAAGTAAACGTCTCTCTCATCATGACAAAGTATCAAGATAATTAACTTGTGGTCAGGAGATGATGGGATTTTAAATTGTTAAATGAAATGTAATACCTTAAAGATTATTTCTGTCACTTGAGAGTAATTAGTCACATTACAATTTAACTGTCTCTGAATTGTGATGCTTTACAGACTTTCACTGCCGTATAACGGTGCATTATTCTAATAAGTAAGATGTAAGGTGGCTTTAGTGGTGCAGAGTGATATCTGTGGATCAGGCGGTCACATAAATTTACCCTCTGATTAACAGCTGCACGAGGTACAGCGGCACAGCGGCCCTTATATTACTGCGTTACTGCAAAAAGCAATACGTTCCTATAATTGCGTTACTCCCAACACTGCAAAGCACGTAGCAGCAAGAACCAGATAGCAGCCAAACACTGGGAGTGCACGCTCAGTGCTGCAGAACAAGATGTTCTTTTTCTGAAATACTAGCGAGGGGTTGATGTCTGCTGTCCTGACTTCAGCGAGGAGCTCAGTCCACCTCCAATAATAGTTGTAGTAGCAGCAAGAATATCAGTAGTATTAGCAGTGGAAGCAGTAGTATTAGTAATATCAGTAGTATTAGTAATATCAGTACCTGTGTACTGGTGTAAACAAAGAGCAGTAGTTCAGACAGGTGCAGGTGTACTGAGGAAGGGGTGGAGTCAACAGGCACCGCCTCCTGAATGCAGAGAAGCTGTTGGCCGTTCATCAGGCTCCACCTCCTCAAGGAGCCGTCAGCAGCCAATGAGAGGCAGCGAGTGGAGCTGTCAATCACTTTGACCGATAGAACTGCACCTAAACAGCACGGATTACACAGGAAACTATTATTATTAGTATAATAATAATAATATTTCATCAACGCAGACCGACCTGTGTGTCCCAGCAGTGAGTGTATGAGGTGCTGGGCAGCGAGGCTCCAGACCGCCACCACGCCATCATCTGAGCCTGCAACCAGAAGCTCCGCCTCCACACCGACGTCCATACAGAGAACACCTGAAGAGATGATGACAGGTAAATCTGCTGCACCTCTCACACCTCACAAAACTCCCTCTTAAGGCTGAACAATCTGAGAAAACAAATCTTCGGCCTGTATTTGTGGTCAAAATAAGATCCCCAGCCTCTGGAGCAATAAGCCAGCTGACACCAGAATCCTGCTCCGCCGAGCTGACAACATACCAACAAGCCCAAGAGGAGGAGGATGAACACCTGAAGGGGGCACTTAAAGCTGGTTATTATCAAAACTGGACAAAAACACAAGATCCATGAAGAACAGCACACTGCAGGGGACGAGGAACGTGGCACCGTTTCACGTCATAGTTCAACACACCCTGCAGCGCTAAAGTACTTCTACTAACAGAAAGGTCTGAGGAAGGTGTTTGGGACGCACGGGTACGAGTACTAAACCTGACCAAACTGATGTTCACAATGTTAAGCTCTGGTTTTATGTAAAAAGCCTATTTACTGTTGCTAACTTGACCGCAGAGCCCGACACATACAAAAACAACGCTAAAGGGAGCCCAGGGCGTTAAAAAGCGACGCCAAGGGGTCTTTGTTTTCCTTCAAGCGTCCACGTGACGCCCTGAGATGAGAACGGGTCGACATCAACACTCACAGGAATCACTGTAACATTTCAGACTTCTGACCTCCCTGCAGTCCGGTCAGTGTGTGTTGTAGCGCCCCCCCTGGCTGCTGCAGGAAACTGCACTTGGGAATGAGGATCGGCTCGGGACACGTCAGTAACCACTCCTCGCACTGGCTACACAGCCGGCCAATCACAGAGGGGAAAGGCGTGGCCAAGGCGCAGAGTCTGGCTAACAGCTCAGTGTAAAACAGAGACATATCTGGAACCAGAAGAAAACATATTACTGCTTGTTTCCATCTTAAACACGTTTTTCATTAACTCATTTTTATTTAGGAACGTTTTTTGTTCTAAATGTTGTTTCAGGTTCTTTCAACCTCAGAAAAGTAAAATGCTGACAGACAGTTTGTGCGTTGTATGTATTTCCACGCAGAATAACTGACCCATGTGACCGTCCAGGAAGTCCAGACTTGGTTTGATCAGGACCAGAGTGTCTCGGACCAGCCTGGTCTCAGTGCAGTCCATGTACTGGCAGCACTGTCCAGGTCCTGGATCACACTGGACACCCGCAGACCCTGCTCTTACAGTACAGCCACTCGGCACTGCCTGAAAAACACAACACTTTGAAACACGATAATCTACTTTAAATATGAACATTACACATTAAGTGACCAATAATATCCAGATTTTATTAATTATTCGTCCTGAGGTTTTTATCTGCATGCTGGTATTTTCATATCTACATGACTGATGACTCACAAATGAGATTAAAGTTGCTCACACTCCTCTAATGCACGTAAATATAAATCTATCCAATGTACTTCATCAGAAAGACTGGATTATAATCCATTTATTATTTAATGTTTGTAATAAAAGCATTAGTTATTTATATTATATTTCCCACATCTCACCGATGACCTCCTGCTGTAGCTCCTCCCACAGACCTGCATGCAGCAGCTGATAGGGCAGCTCCTGGAGCTTCCTGACGTTAGCCAATCCCGGAGCAAACCACAGCGGCTGGGGCGGGACCTGCGGGACCGTAGAACCAATCAAAACAGACCATGAACAAAGAGGAAATCCCTCCCACGGTCAGGTTGTCAGTTTCTGTCTGTGCTGGAAGAAATACTCAGATCTTTGAGTCTTTTACGAGTAAAATACTTGTTACTTTAAAAGTCCAGAGTATTTGCATCACCATGTTATTGGATTATTATTATTGCATCATCACCTGGTGGACCTGATACATCTCGCTTTTACTGGGCATCTTGTTGTCTGTTATATGTGTGTGATATCGTCTTTGCTCTTGTGAAAACACTTTGTAACACAGTTTTGAAAAGTTATCTATAAATTAAGATTGTTTTTACTATTAACCTCGTGGTACCGGACCCCCGAAACCCTCCCAAACCAGCGGCCCTTTGTGTCAACAGAGACCGCCTGGCGGGCCGCCATCTTGCTGAGGTCGGCTGAGCCGATAAGTTTCCTTTCTGTCGTCAGATTGAAGTAGAGAAGAAGAGTTTGCTTTGGCGGAGGCGGTCTTTATCGGCCTCTGCTGGCGACCCGCAGGAGCTACACAGACCTGCAGGATATCAATCGATTTGTCGATGCAGGATGTTCTGTTCTCAAGCTGTGGCCTGTAAAGCGTGGGAGTGCTTTTGGTTACAGGATATTGCCTGTTTTTATCAATATTTCAATGTTTTGGAAGCTTTATGTTATTTGGAACGTGGTTGTGTGGAGAGAAATAATGTTTTGAAGATAACTCCCAATAAAAGTGAACATAGAAACAGTAAATATGGCCAAAACATGGACATTCGCCTGGTGTATTTTTGAAAGATTGTGTAATAACTGTCGTATATCAGTTTCTTTTCATCAGATTTACAGTTACAGTTTTATTCCAGGTGGATTAGAGATATTCAGGTGCATTATAATCTACCTTAGGATGTTTGATGGTTTATTGCATTAAAATAGAGCTTTTTTTACCAGACGAGGATGAAAACATCAGATTTTCTTCTGTATTGCATCTCCATGTAGTCGTAATGGTAAAATAATATGTTAATGTCCAATGGATTATATTCCTCAGCTTCTGACCTTCAAAGGAGACCAGGCGTTTTTCCTGTAGTA